TTGCGATTGAGTTACTGGTGGTCGTGCATGAAGCGTGAGATCGCTTGGTGAGTTGAGAGGTGTTTGACCTGCAGGATGTTCAAGGCCGAGCACCAGAGGCCGCATGGAAAGTTGAAGCCTCTAGAGATCCCCATGTGGAAATGGGAGCAGATCACGGTGGACTTCATCATCAAGCTGCCGAGAACATCGAAGGGGTTCGACGCTATTTGGGTCATCGTGGATCGATTGACCAATAGTGGTCATTTTCTGCCCATTCGGGAGAGCTCATCGGCCGAGAATCTGGTTGATGTGTATATACGCGAGATTGTTGCTCATCATGGGGTTCCGGTTTCTATCGTCGTCAGACCGTGATGTTCGGTTTACCTCCCGATTTTGGCAGAAGTCCACAAGGAACTGGGCACACGGCTGCACTTCAGTACAGCCTATCATCCACAGATGGATGCCCACAGTGAGCGGACCATACAGACTCTTGAGGATATGTTGAAAGTATGTGTTATTGACTTCGGTGAGAGTTGTGACTCCTACCTACCCCTTGCAGAGTTCTCCTACAACAACAGCTTTCACTCCAACATTAGTGCTCCACCATATGAGCTGTTGTATAGGCGGAGATGCCGCACCCCAATCTGTTGGGGCGAGGTGGGTCACAGGGTGATGGGTCGGACCGAGGTAGTCCTGCAGACTACCGAGATGATTCAACAGATTAGACAGCGGCTGTAGACCGCACGGAGTCGGCAGAAGAGCTACATCGACCGACGCTGATCTGAGTTGGAGTTTCAGATCGGTGACATGGTACTCCTGAAGGTCTCACCCTGGAAAGGTGTGATCCGCTTCAGGAAGAGGGGGAAATTGGGTACCCAATATATCAGACCGTTCAGGATCATTTCCAGGGTTGGCAAGGTGGCGTATAGATTAGATCTCCCTGAGGAGCTTAGTCATTGGATGATATTCAGGTCGATGAGCCCCTGGACGAGGAGGCAGTAGTGTTATTGGATGATATTCGGGTCGATGAGCGCCTGAATTACATGGACAGGTCGGTGGTCGTTTTGGAGAGGAAAGTAAAGGTTCTACGGAACAAGGAAGTACCTTTGGTAAAGGTACAATGGGAGCACCAGAAGGGATATAAGTGGACTTGGGAGCCGGAGGCTGAGATACGGGAGCATTACCCGGAGTTGTTCACCACAGCGGACTTCGAGGACGAAGTCTACTTCAAGTGGGGGAGAATTGTAACACCCTGACTCTTAGGTATGAACTTTACAACCTTATTTCCATTTTGAAAGGTCTACTCGATGAGTTGGATGTCGTGACTCATCGAGTAGGAATGAATTTGGTCGTGTGTCTTAATTGACCAACTCGACGAGTTGGAGCTGGAGGATGAAACCCTAATTTCCAGGGTTTTGCACCCTCTTTGAAGGATTATTAGCCTCCCTTAGCCTCCCTTACAGCTCCCCTTGAGCTCAGAAACCCTAAATCATGTTGGCTCTCCATATTTGTGTGTTTAAGTTTGGAAGGTGGATCTTTGTGAGAAGAACTTGAAGTTCAAGAAGCTTGGAAAAAGGAGGAGTTATAGATCTGAACTCTACTCCATCTTAGTATCACACTGAAGGTAACAAGTCGTCACCTTGGCTCTCCTTTAGCTAGATCTCTTCATTCATGGTTTTAGAACCCTTTTTGGTGTATTTTTGTGGTATTTCCGGTTTTAGGACAAGATATGAGGTTGCAACTTTAGATCTGGACTCCTTTAGCTCCTTATTGTCATAAAGTCTCAGTCTTTGTCAAGCTATGGCATTCTCTTTGCCTTAAGCTTCTTCCTTAGCCTAGTTTTGGCTCTTAAGACCTTGCATGCACGTAAAGTTTGCGACTTTAAGTGATAAATAGGCCCTAGGAGGCTAGATCTACCATTTGAAGCTTTGGAGTGGCTCAAGATCATCTGGACAAGAAATGGACTGTATGAACTCGACGAGTCGGATAAGCCGACTCGACGAGTTGGGAAGGGTTTTCCGGTTGTTTGGTTTCTGCATGGACTCGGCGAGTCAGCAAGAGGACTCGACGAATCAGTTAGGGTTTTCCCTGACTTTTGGACACACATGGACTCGACGAGTTGGTCGGAAACTCGGCGGGTCAGTGATGGTTTTATGACCTTCTGAACTCATAAGGAACTCGACGAGTTGCTGGCTGCACTCGACGATTTGGGTCAACATGGACTGTTGACTTTGACCATTGACTTTGACTTGGACCAAGGGTTGGTCAGTTTGACCTCTGGGGGTATTCTGGTAAATCGGGGAATTTATGGAAGTGAGTCATCGGTGGATGTAGGTGTTGGATTTGGAGCTACATTTGGTGGAGTTGAGTTTATCGGTTCGAGCTACTTGTGAGGTGAGTTCTCCTCACTATATCAATAGGGTCTACGACACCAAGGCCGACCCTTTATGATTTGCATCCTGGTTTTAGGATGGTTGTTATGTTATTAATCTGTTAGATTGCATCCTGGTTTTAGGATGGTTGTTATGCTAGTAGTCTGTTAGATTGATATCCTAGTTATAGGATGGTTTCCATGTTAGAGATCGGTTAGATCGATATTCTGGTTATAGGATGGTTGCTATGTTAGTGATCTATTAGATCAGAATGACTATCTGTTATTACATGCTAGCGTATGTTATTTATGTGCACATGTTCGTTGGGTTTGGGATTAGGTTGAGGCAGGTACTGCTTTGTGTTGTAGGCCAAGACACCCAGGGCGGACCGGATAGACTACATACCGGTTAGGGCACACTAGTCAGACTGAAGGCTCGGCGGGCTGTCCGAATAGGCTGAAGGCCCTGAGAGGCGGTCCAGACATGTCGATCGCTCAGAGAGCGGTCCAGATAGACTGATGGCCTGCGAGGCGGTCCAGTCAGACTGATGGCTCATTATGCATGTTGTGTTTGTTATATGATATGGTTATATCTGTATGGCGTTGGAATTTTGGGGGAACTCACTAAGCTTTGGTCTTATAGTTGTTGATTTTGTTTTAGGTACTTCTGACGATCGCGGGAAGGTGATTGCGTGATCGTGCACCTCCTATTGTTTACGATTTGATTCTGGGATATTTTGACACTGAATTATTTTGAAAACAAGTTTTGTAATAATCAATGGTTTTGGAATGTTTTAAAAAGTTTAAATTTGGCATGATTTTTATGGATATTACATTGGCTCTGCATATTTTCTTCAACACATGCATCCTTCATTATGAAGAAGATGGTTAGGGTGATTGGCACTGAGCGTCCTACTGTCGACACAAGATAAGAAAGAACTGTGTCCAAACAATAGATTTAGGATGCTCTTCTTGCCCACTCATAAACCCTATTTCTGTTGCAATGGGGCCAAGTAAAGCTAGTGAGTATGGCAAGACTAATTTCCATAGGCGCTCGCACTGCCACACCAAACCCCATCTGAGATCCAAAGGACTCATCATCAAGACATTGCGCCTTGTGTTTCATCTAGTGGTTCACACCTGTTTGTTTCTTCGAGTATTTTCATTTTTCCTTTCATAACTCGAAGGTTACAAAGATTGAAACCTATTAACTCGTTGGTTACAATGATTGAGTATTGTAGGGTCTTCTTTGAGTATGATGAATTTAAAGCTTGGAATACATCAAATATTTTTCTACTTCAAGGGATAAGATCATTTCTATCTTCTTATATTTTGATCTATATTTTTGATATATTTGCTTGTGTTTTGTCTCTCTTTATAGACAAAGGTTGAGTGGTAGATATATTGAAAGGAAGAAAGTCATTAATGATTATTCAATTCAAAGGATTCACAAAATCTGATCTTTATTAGTTTTTTGAAAGAGCTGCATGTTTCTGTCTCTTTGAATATTACCTTATTTGACTAATTCTTTTATGTTTCATTTTTATTTTATTCTAATTTTTGTATTGTACGATATTAATGGAATTAATAGTGAACCCTGATTCTAGAATGCAACTTAACTTTATGTTGCTGGAATAAGAACCACTTCCTACTGATGAGCTAGACACTGTCTATGATTCACATAGATTTCACTTTAGTGTGACTGAGACATTCTGATTCTGTCACTACAAGTCTTCTTTTATAGAACTTGACGATTCACTGTGCTATACCACACACTAATAAAAGTTCGAAACTCTGCGCCAATGGTTAGACTATGTATCGTAGTCTATCACGCGCACAACCCATTCTCGCTCTTAAATTTTTCTGAAAAGTTTTATGATTCAACATTAAATAGCAGATGCTGATGAGAACTTGAAAAATCTATGTCGATGGTTAAGCTATGTACTGTAGTTTATCACATGCACCAATCCATTCTTGCCCCTAAATTCTTCTTAAAGCTTTATGATTCGGTGTTAAATACCAAACACTAGTGAGAACTTGAAAAATCTGTGTCGATAGATATATCATGAATTATGATATAGTATACACACCTACCCGTTCTCACCCTATAAATATTCTAAAAAATAATATTATGATTTGCTGTAAAAGCCTTACACTGATAAAAATTTTACACTCTATGCGGATGAGTACATTTCGTGTCAGAATATATTACACGCATCATCCCGTTCTTACCCAAATTTATTCTTCTAATAAAATTCGTTAATGATTCAACGTATAGAACCATACATTAATGAGACTTTGCAACTATGTGTGAATGATCTACTAGTGCCGCAACACACTAGTGTGATACACCGAATGCCCTCCTATCTTTTTGACGCATGTTTTATACATTGGTTTCATCTACATTGTTTTGTCACTGTTGATTGTTACCAAATGCAAATCTTAGATCAAGTTATCGTCTTTTCAGAAGCTTGTTTTAAACGGTAACTTTTTAAATTTTGGGATATGTGTCACTCCTAGATAACTACGAGATTTGGGGAAAATTCTTCTCTCTTTTATGATCACCTCTCAACGATGCTCTCAAATATATAAAAGGGGAGGATTATCATTCTCATCATATTACGCTACCATTGCAATCAAAAGCCTTGATATGTCTTCAATCACAAGAACCCTAATCACAATGGCTCCTCCATATGTTCTTTACACATATGCTCCGACTCCAAACGCCATCAAAGCTACTGGAACTCCTGATTCTCCCATCGTCATCATGGCGAACAATGTAGCTTTCTCTCCTAATATCCCTAAAAATTATGTGAATACGGGATTTGAAGATTTTGTGGCCTATCTTTCAGCTTATCCACTTCACTATGCTTTTGTATATGTTCATGATTCTTTTCTTCCACAACATGTTTTTGAGTTCCACTTCACCACTACCTTCACTGATGCTGAAGTAATTGTTGGCATACTCAATGATGGATATCATATGATTTCAATGACTATAATGGATGTTCGAAGAGCCCTACGACTCCCAATTCATGACAAAAATTTTCATCTTCCATCTATCGATGAATGTCGTGCTATTCTAGTGTTTATGATTTTGGGAAACAAAAGGATTACATTTTTTGTTGTCAACATCTTCCCGCTACATGGATATTTCTCACTATGTTCTAGGAAAATGTCTCACTAATAAAGTTAGAAGGCTTGATCAAATGAATTCTTATGAGAAATGCATTATTTTCTCTATCATCAAGAATAAGCAACTTTATTTTTCTCAGATGATATTTGATCAATTTACCAAAATTATCTAAGGTAGTAAAAGATCTCCTCATTTCCATGTACCAGATGGTCAACACTCATCCTTCAACATTTTGGTACTGGTTATGATGATGATCAAGCTGAAGATTGGATTCACTCCTTCACCTCCTCCAAGTTGTTTAATCAAGATCCTGATGATGAACGGAGAATTACAAAGGGTATGCAGAAGTGGATTAATGCTCCACGTGAGTATGAAAAATTGGCATATGTGGCTCCTACTGTCTTATCAGAATATGAATTAATGGGGAATGAAATCCACTTAGTGTCAAACCAAGAAACTTCCGAACACACAAAGACTTAGACACACAGATAGACACTGAGAGTCTCTCTCAGTTTGATGAAGATGCCAACGCTGTCAATAAGAACTTAGATGCTGGCGTGTAATTACAATAGTCAGGATACAGAAATGGTTCATGTGTATCCAGATCAAGCCAACCAAGCAAACTTACAGGATCTCAATAAAGCTGAATCAAGTCGACCCAAAAAACACATTCGTTTTGAATATTCTTCATATGTTGATGAAGAAGAAGATATTGTTCCCGGAACTCCTTCAGCTCAACTATCTGATCAACAAGGTAATGATGATGACGTTGAATACATATCAAAGACTCCTCCATATGGTCAAGGTTTTATATCTTTTGCTCCTACTTCCTCTATTGCTAGTACTCGAACACCCTTTATGTCGTTCTTCTGAGAAACCTAAAGTTCAATATGTCACTACTTCCCTTGTTCAACCTGAACAAGATCTGATAATTCAACAAATTGCTCATACTGTTCAGGGGGAGCAAGCAACCGTTCAGGGGGAGCCACTACTAACAATTCAGTTTCTTGTTAACTTCAAAGCTTTTCAAGTAAAGACTCTTTCTACATTAGAGTCACTTGTTCAGCTCATATCAAATTTAAATCAGTAGCTGCTCGCAATCAAGACTGATTTCATTTAGATCAAGTGCATAGTCACTGGCATTGATACCGAGAATGATGATGATGACAATCAGTCTCCAGTTGGGGATGACCATCAACTACCTCCTGACTCTAAAGGTGCTCGGTCTTCCAACAGTCCTTCCACCTCCATACTTCCACCACATCCACCTTCAGGACCTTCTCAATCAACACCTCCACCTCCCAAGAGTCCTCATCCTGCTATATTTCCTCAGGATTGATCATTAGCACTTATCAGTATGCCTCCTACTCAGTCTGATGATGCCAAATGGGGGAGAATGACGTTGACACTGGTACAAGTAATGCTAAATGGGACATGAAGCTATCTTTCATGGATGTGCAACCTATTTAGATAATATTTCTTGACACTGACACCTCTAGTGTTGATGCTGAGAGGAAGCAACATATCCCTCAAGGGGAACCAGGTAACATTGAATCAAAGGATGATGTTCCCCTGCACAAGAAAACGAAGGCAAAAGTTGATTCTACTTCCGACAGTAGCTCATCTGAGAAGAAACACAAACATATCATTGTGTCTAAAATGGTAAGCATATGGGGTGTGTCCGTTGAAGAGGCTAGAGAGTTTGCCCGACAACACAACATTCAAACTGCAAATTGATTGATTACCAGAAAAGACTCAAAAAGGATTCAATAAATTTCGTCTGCCTCTGGTTCATTACTTGATCAAATTGAACGTCTCAACAAGTTTAACATGTTGATGAAAAAGGAAAAAGAGATGAAAGAAAATAATATCACTAAGCTTGAGAGGAGCAGGTTTAGTGATGTGCTAACAGGGAGAAAGGATCCTGACCCAATAATCAAAAGTTAGATGCACTAAGTACAAAAACAAAAAGATTCTTACAATGCAGATTACCAGGAAAGGTGATAAGGGTCTAGCTACGGGCCAATAAACTGAAGTCTTTTTTGTCCAAGATCTGGTCAAATTTAGATACAACAAGTGGCTATAACTCCTAGAATTGGTCAACAAACAAGAGGGTAAATATGTTGGGGAGCTGCTTGTTCTAGAACGTCTCGTCACAAAGGTTAAAGACCTTGATTTAGTACCAAAGTCTTCCAATAATTTCTTCAGCATCTGCTATGGTGCCTAGAAGACGTTCTTTCAAAGGAGTTAAATTTCTACTCCCTTTTGGTACCAAAGTTATTGATAATTACCTTCTGGTGGGTCTTCATCCTATTCAACATATGTTCATTGTTTACCCTGAACATGGAATCTTCTATGTGGATGAATCGCAGAGCATGTGCTTTCAACATTCAGTTGATCTAGCAAAAGCTCACACGGAGCATCTTGTCCAGCTAAGGTTTGACTACTTGGGTCACCCAAAGCTTGAATGCAACTATCACTTTTTCATTTCTCTTTAATTCAACAAAAGGAATGAAGATCTTGCTATCTTAGATTATTTATAACTCAAGCTAGAAGCTGAAGCAGGTACTAATGAATTTTACCGTCGTTCAGAAGAAGAAGATCTTGGGTTTTAAAATCATCGGATCAGGGAAGATTGTAAGGACCTTAGAATAAGATAATGCAAAACCTTCACGTTAACACTCTCATCGGCGCCAACGTCTCTCACCAGCGTCAATGTGAAATCAAATCTATAATGTCGTGTCAGCATGTACACTTCATAAATGTAATTTTTTATATATATAGATGGATACAAAGTTAGTTAAAAGATCCGATTCTTAGGGATATCAGATATATTCTATTATTAACGTAGATTAGGTGATATCCCTTGCTTGTTAGGGATTTCTTTATATACTAGGGTTCGTATCTTTAATTGATTATCGAACCCTAAAGAGCTTTGTGCTCGTTCTCTTTGTGAGAATATTTTCTTAGTGAAAAACCTTTGTGATACATCTTGTGTTCTTTCAATCCTTTCATTGTTAATCATCACAGATCAAGGGAACCTACAATAAATTCTTCATTATTTACTCTTTTTGAAAAACACTTTGAAATCTTATGACTCTTTTAATAATCATTGTCCCAAATCTTATTTCATTTAATTAAACTATTTTCATATTTTCTCTTTAATATCACTTTGAAATGTTAAAACTCTTTTAATAAACCATTTATATTTTCTCTTTGAAAGACTTAAAATGTATAAAACTCTTTGGTTAAACTCTTTACTTTTTTCTTCTTGAAACACTTAAAATGTATAAGCATTTATATACAACATAAATTGAAAGAATACAACACAATATACAACTGTAGCTATCCATGTTTATCACTTTGTGATCCCGCTCACAGTTTTCTCGTTTTGATAGCAATGAAGACTATGACATAGTTATCACAAAGCACCCTACATCACGACTTCTCTCGTTTCTATCTAATCTCTTTTTGGGTGCAGGTGAGGTATCAATGACGGTCCCATACATAAGGTAGCTACCCTACATGCACATATGAGACACACAAGTCTTTGGTCTTTATTGGGTACAGGTGAGCTAGAATACCACACTACTCTTTGGTCTTTATTGTTTGTTATGAACTTTAGAGGGACACACAAGTCTTTTCCTCACTCTTACATCACAAGTATTCATGATACCCTTTTTTCAAATCATTTAATCTTTTTACCCTTTCTTAAAACTATTTCATAAAATCATTTCATGAAAAGCACACATAAGTAAACACATAGAAAACAATTTATAAACATCTTAAATACTTTCAATTTATGGAAAACTTCTTAGAGTTTCTTTTCTGGAACATGTATTCGATAGTACTCATCTCAATGTAAACTAAACTATTATCCCTTATTCTATGCATCTTAAACTTCACTTCGCTACGCTCTCAAACTTATTTTACAATATCAAACTTGTTCTTTCATCGGTCTTTCAAAAAATGAAGTAAGTTTATTTACCTAAAAATCAAAGACGAAGATAAAAGAGGGAAATTGATGAGAATGATGTGGTGTCGCAAGTTTAACAGTGGGGGTGTGACATCTGTGGTTCGAACGATATATGTAGTATAGGTGGGAGTCATTCTAACATATTCACAAACAGTCAATGAAAGAAGAGAGTTAGTTTCTCAAGTTGAGTAACAATGTGCAAAAAGACTTAAAGCTCATAATATGCTATTTTCATATAATTGACGTAATCCATGATGAAACAATTAGCGATGAAAATAAATTTTTTAGGATAATTAAAAGAAAATTAATTTTAAAAATCTAAAATCCAATACTAATGTGTCGGTAATTATCGACATATTTTAATAATTCTAAAATTATTTTTATTTATATTTGTTATCTTTATTAAAACTATAAATCTTATTATATTAGTTAATAATAATAGTAATAATAACGAAGAAGACTGAGAGCACCCACAAGAAATACGTCGAAAGAATGGCTTGCAAACACATAAAAGGTTTAATAATAATGATAACAACATAAGTTTTTAGTTTATGAATGATACTTAAACAATAACAATGTGAATGAATAGAAAATCTAAAAAATTAAAAAAAAAACTAAACATTAAGGTTTATGTGTAATACGTCATTGAATCTGATAAAAATATGATAGAATAGCGATGGAACGCTAATTTCACTAAAAGTAGCGGCTGAGCGCACAATGACTTTGATATATTTTAGTTTTTTGAAATTTAGTCATTGGTTTTTCGATCCACCATTCACACACCGTAAACATTCTTAATTTTTTTTTTGTTTTACCAACTTATACACATTCCACACCTATGTACGTACATGTGATATGTACGTATATGTGATATGTATGTACATGTGAATTGTCAATACACCACCACTCGATACAAACTATTGAATATCTATGAAAACAGTTGACACCTCCAAAATATATTGGACATGATTTTTAGTGTGTAAAATGCGTACGTACTTCAGTTGATGTTTAACTAAGTTTCCTCTTACTAAAAACAAAACAAAACACTTTGAAACTAGAAAAAAAAAAGACAAAAAAAAAAGACAAAAAATGTTACACCTTAGCATGAAATACAATGACAAATGGTTTGTTAAACATACAATCTAATAAACAAATAAATTTTAAGTGTGTGAATGAACCTCTCTCTCTCTCTCTCTCTCTCTCTATATATATATATATATATATATATATATATATATATATATATATATATATAAGTTCAATTGAGAAATATAAAACGTTGGATCATTCTAACCAATCATTTATTTTGCCGCAAAATCCTCCATTTTACCGGCGGAAAGGGGAAATGAATACACATGTTTTTTCCAACCAACCAAGTTTCATTAAATTATGCTAATCATTACCTTAATATATATACAAAAACATAGTTTTTTTAATTTTTATTTTTAAGGGGTTATTTTTATCGAAAAACTATTTTACATATATCAAAATGCAAAATTTTGTGTTCTCTACAAATAGAAATCTATATTGAAGTTTTAAGAAAAAATAGTTTTTTTAGTTTCAGCCCTCTTTATTCATAAATGAATAAAAATTAATCAGATTTTTATTACAGTACATTTGTTCATCACTTATATGTTTAATTTTTTAACAGTTTAAGTATCATTAATGAATAAAACATATAATCAATTTTTTATAGTTTACATACACTCTCGTCAGTGTTATATTTATATGTGAATAAAACGTGTATTAGTTCTTCTCACAAGTCATATTCATATATGAATAACACATTTATCAGAATTGTATTCCAATTCATTTGTTATTCACATATGGATAAGGAGTTCGAGTTTTCAAAACACTTCATTTTCTATTAACATACTATTTATTCATATATTAATAACAAATGAACTGTAACCAAAATCTGATAAATCTTGTATTCATATATTAATATAACATATGACGAGAGCTAACACACCTTTTATTCATATATGAATATAACATATGACGAAAGATGATTTAAAAAAATATAATTTAGGAAAAAAAAATTATTACGTATTATATTCATATATAAATGATACCTAAAGTGTAAAAAATTTAAGCATACGTTTTATTCAAAAGTGAATAACGAATATACCGTAATAATAAAAACATGATACATTTATATTCATTTATGAATAATGAGAGCTGAAACTATAAAAAAATTATTTTATCTTAAAACAATATATCAATATGGATGACATTTTTTAGAGAATAAAACATTATTAATTTTAATATATTTAAAATAATTTTTTGATAAAAATAGATTCTTAAAAAAAACTATGTTTTTGTATATATATTAAGGCGATTATTAGTATAGTTTAAGTAAACATGTTTGGTTTGAAAACACACGTGTATCCCTTGCCTATTTCCGTCGGTACGACCAATTATTTTGCGACAAAATGAATGTGTGGCTGAGATTAATTCATTTATTCTCAACATTTTTTTTTTTGAATTGAACCCTTATATATATATATATATATATATATATATATATATATATATATATATATATATATATATATATATATATATATATATATAATTGTACGATTTTGAGAAGGGTTAAACACATACAATAAATCGCTTCTATCCGTAAATGTGTTTAGATACTACGGACGAATTTAAAAATGATGCTAATTTTTATGTGTGAATGTCCCTTGTGTAGATTAGTTAACCAACTTACTATTGCTCAAAGAAACATTAACCCACTAATTAGTTCCTTTTC